GACACACACAGCCATGAGGTACCTGGGGTATCCCATAGTTCCTCATTGCCTTGACTACGTCCCAGGTGCCATTACTCGTCTTGTATCCCCAGCGACAGAGGTGAAAGCCTAACGCCCAGTAGACTGGCATCGCTGGGACCCCTGCAAGGAGCGAGAAGGACAACATCGACGTTTGCTTTTGCTCTGGAATGATTTGAAGATGAATCCGCGATCCCTCCATGCATTCTGCACTTACCTACAACTTCCAAGTACTGCTGAACAACAGAGTTGGGATCAGGACCCAAGAAGATATAAATATCCAGGATTCCTCCGATGGTCCGCCAGGTCAGAGCTGGAGCAGGCTGAAGTGCAACATCTGGAAAGACAATTTCCCTCTGCATTTCTAAACAAGTGACAAGTTCAGTGGTGTGTGGGCTGGAAACATGCCCATATACTCAACATCAAAGGAAACATTTCTGTTTCGGCATGCGTGCCTTTTGAAAAGTATACAGATTTGGAACAGCGATTAGATGTTTTTGCTTTTTTTTTTTTACTGAGCCATTATAACTCCAGTGACTTTACCTAACTAACCACCACGTTAGTAAGCGAGTTGATGAGATTATTTACCCTGCTGACTGTGAAGCCTAGAGAAAAGAAGAACACAGAAAAATACTGTTTCTTGCTTATCAGAATGCCTTCAAGCCATCAGTATGATGGAGGTAGGATTAAGTCTGCTCACTGTTGCTCATCATCTGTCTAGAGAAGACAGACATCATCATCGTGCTCCACCTTTGTGATTGTTCTTGCAGTGCATCAGAAACACCAGGGCACACATCCCACTCACTGGCACTTCAGCTGTGAGGAGGCACTTCTTAATTAACATTTTTATGCATTACTTCAGTCATACAATAAGCAAAGGGGACCGTACAGTCTTGCGCTATGACTCACCCATGGCATTGCTGTTCAAGAGGAAAACTCCATGTGCAGATCCGCCTGGCTCGATGCCCAGGTAGAATGGATGAACTCCATATAAGTTAGTCAGTTCCTTCAGAAGGATATTAGCAAGGAGAGAATAATGCTCAATTAAACTATTTCACAAATTGCAATAACTACAGTGGGGGAGGACAGCTGCAGATACAAAATTCAAGCAGACAACAACCATGATAAAGTACACATCAGATAATATTAAATTATTAATTAATATTAAATTCCTTTCCATTAAAGGAGCTTTTACAACAAGTTTATTACACACAATGAGCTCTATATGCATGGAAAGGCATTAAGGTCACAATAAATGCTAAGGTTTGAATAATAATCTGTCATGTTATTAAAGTCTCTCAATATACTTTTGTTTTTGCATCTAATTCATCTAAAAAATCCCCCAGGGGACAATGCAGGTCATGCAAAATGCACAAGATGAACTCTGCTCTCTAATGTTTGGACTGGAAAAGCACATTTTCAAGTCACAGAAATCAGAATGCAGCATAACACAGAAACATTCTCAATGAGTTTCCATAGTCAAGTATTAAAACACTTCATGGTTCAGAAACGAAGGAAATGATACAAAGTTTTGAGACTAAGAATTATTGCGGAACAAGTTCGAGTAGGGAGCTGTGTCAGCATGCGTAGGCCGCAGAGGAACAGGCAAAGGTTTATTCCTGCTGAAAAGAAAAGTATCAACACCTTAAGAATGTTCCACAGCCGAAACATTCTCTCTTTTCTTTTCCTTTCAGCAATAATGGAACAAACCTTTCCCTGTTCCTGCTGTGGAATATGTTTATTAGACATATTACACGTATTTAAGCCCTTGCCCTATAAAGTAGCCCATTTAAATAAATTCAGATGTCTGAACTAAAACAAAACCCGTCTCCCCCAGGGAAACGTGAAGGGTTACCATGGGAGGCACGTCCCGAGCCCACAGCGTCAGGGTGTTCCACTCGACGCTGTGGAGGAAGCCAGCGCGATGCTCCCCAAGGCCATAGACGTACCGCGAGGCCAGAGCCGTGGACATCTGCAGGAACTGCTCCGCGAAGAACAATGGGGCCACCGTCGTGTTTATTCTGCAGGAAGCAGACGGAAATAAGACAGCGCGGCCTTGAACTCACCCTAATCATGACAAATTACTTTCAACCAGGCAAAGTAAGGCCGGGAAATACTCAACGACTTCAAATATCTTGGGTTCATAAACGTCAAAAACTTTGCATCCAACCTCTCATAAGCACTGCGGTTCAGTCAAGCATACCTATCGTCACAGTCAGAGAAAAGTCAAAACACCCACTGAACAAACAGATACTGCATCTTCGCATGCGCCTTGAGGGAAAATCACAAGTTTTTGGCATGATTGAAATGAATTGACTACCCATAAGGGTGAAGCACCTGAGAGGTTGCATGATCATTAAATCACCTGGTTAGTGAAAGGATTGACTGGGCATCACAAATTAGGCGTTTTAACCTGTGTCATGTCAAGTCCGGTGAAAATCAAGAAAAATATACTAAGGAAGTATATACTAATATACTCCACCTTCATGCCATCGATACGTTTGAGGCTAGACTATTGAAGGAAAATGTTGGTTGCTGTTTGGGGTGTTCACGGGCCAATAATTTCTAACCTTCAGAAGACTGCAGAACAGTCCGTCAAAGAGATCCATATCCGTTTGGATTAATCTACATTAATCAAGACCTAGTGCCATGTTTGCTCTGCTTCCTGTGGGCTCATCATAACATCCCAGCAGAACGAGTCCTCACTCTGCTCATGTAACAGTGCACAGAACCCACAGAGCTTGTCCGTGCTCCAGGAGCTACACTTGAGAGATGTAGCATCCGCAACGGCACATATACAGTATATAGGTTATATTACTCCTAACGGGGACTAGAAACACTACTAGACTGCGATTTTATCATCAGCAGACAGTTTACTGTCGATCAGCACAACAAAATGACTCATGTTGCTGAGAAAAGGTCAGAGCACCTGCTAAAAAGACTGGAATTTTTTGGATAACGTTCTTAATTTCTGTAGGTTCAAATCATTTATGTGTTAGCTTAATGGCCTAAATATTTTTGTCAAGGGTATTTTCTGCTGCTAATGTCAACATCTGCCCAGATGACTTTGATGAATTCAGAAAAGTGCATACTAGTAGAGTATATTTGTCAGTCCACGTTCATGCTGAAATTGAAAGAAAAGAAAAGAAAAAACCATACAGCACTGTTCCTGTTGATGTCCTTGTTACTATCAGGCCAAATGGCGTCTTGGAGAATAGCACTGTATAAGCAGGGTTTGAGGCCTTTTGTGTGGCCAGAGGCACAGAGAGAGGAACTTCGAAGCGAGGACCAGATTTGTCTGTAATCTAGAATAAAAAACATGATGAAAGTTAGTGACTCACCATAGTTTTTTAGTAATAAGAATATCAGAAATCTTTTTAATCTGACACAAATCTCACATGTAAAAGCTAAAGCACAGAAAAGAGTAAACAATTCTCTTGTACTTGTAGGCTGAGTCACAGTCCCATTTCAATTGCTGGTGAATGATGTTTCTTGATATAAATGACTACAAGAATGCAGTACTTCTGTGCACAGGTTGTGAATAAAGACTGAGTAGCAAAGGGAAGCTATTGAGCTACTTGGTCACCTGCGTCTTCAAAATGAAAATTCAACTGTCGCTTTAATTCTGCAGTATGACACTGCTTTACAGGAAGAGAAACTGGCCTGAAACCAACCTCCAGATATTTCTCAACATGAACTTTCGCAAACCTGGGATAGTTCAGTATTTGAAGTTGTGATTTGAATTTATTTTCCATACTTATGACCAATGAGTTGCCACACAACTTATTCCAGTATGAAAGCACTGAATGAGAAAGAATTTTAGAAAAAGCTCTTACTTTTACGTGCAGTCTGGAATCTGTCTCGTACATGACATCGAGCTGGAGGGTCTCAATATCTCGTGGATAATGGGTCTTCTCCTTCTTTGTCAGTTGCCCTATATACCCTAGTGTGGTGTCGTTTAAACTATCCAGAGTGTAAGTGGGGAAACTGGGAGGGTAAAAACACCAAGGAACGCCATTCTTGGCGGGAGGGGGCTCAGCAGAGACCTGTATGAAACAGCAGTTCCTGGCCTCACACAGCTCCCTCGTCACCACCACGCCACTTTCTGGGTAGCAATCAAACCGGTGGCTCTCGGGGATCGCCCGGCAAGTATCGGGGTCCGCCTCCCCACTCGCTGCGCCCGCAGCCGGGGAAGGGGATGGGGCCCGAGCGGGAAGCTCACTGCCAGGATACTTCAGCCAAAAGATGGTGCCGACGAGCCACGAGCAGCCCAGCGCAAAGAGAAACGTGCCGAGGCCTACGAAGGCTTTGGACGTGGAGCACACGCCTTTCTTCTGGCTGCCCGGGCTCTCTGGGGGCGTCTCCTCCCTCCTGGCCTCAGCAGGGGCAGGGGCAGTCAAGTACACGTCTTCCGGGGTCAGGAGCTTGTAGGAGACCATTCTGGCGGAGCAGGAACCTGGGAAGCATATTCGTTCCATTTAAAACCTGTTCAGATGTTTCATTCACATGGGGACAGTGGAGCCAATCACAGCCATCTGCCTGGTAACTGGTATTGCAACTCGACTAAGGGTTAAAAGGCCACAACCAGAGCTTTCAACGTTTTCTACTTCAAGGAACCACTTTTTATTTCAAGAAATCCCTCTCCATCAGGGCTCCCGATTCCAAAACTGAAATCACACTTCAGTTTATCATCATTATACCTGACTGTACTGTCGCAATTCCAGCCACTTTGAGCTGGAGCCTAACATGGGGAAGTGCAGGTCACAAGACAAAACTGTGCCCTGGACAGGACACCAGCCCACACACTACTCAGGGAGCAATGCAGAGACACTGAAGTACAGGGGACAGCACGTCTTTGGCCTGTGGCGTCCTGAAGAAACCCCACACAGACAGAAATACAGATGGTGTCCCACTCTGGAATCAAGAGCTGAGAGGTACTGCAGCACAACTATTATATTATACAACTGTTAATGTATAACCCGAACAAAAAGATCCAACCCAAGTGCTGCTGTCGGTCCGATCAGTTGCAGGACCCGCGAACAGCTGATCACAGGGGGTGACATTATTAACGTACATTTACTACGCAATGAGACCCATGAAGCAAACGTGAAATGCCAAAACATATAAACTATGTAAACAAAAAATGACTGATAATGACGCTGATTCTGCTTAACCGGTTTACTGTCAGGGTGAATCAAACACAATACCGAGGACAGTTAAAGGCATGCAACGCTCACATTATTGGGGCGACAATAAATGCATCTCTACCTGTGATTCGGTACTTTACAGTCGTCTTTGATAACGGAATGCAACGCAGTTTTCTACTGTTTTACAAACTAAAACGGTTCGCCCTATTCAAACCAACAGCCGCATTACACTGCAGCGAAAGGAATGGTTGTGTACATATATAAAGATCAGGACGTGTTAAGCACGGGAAGACAGCGCGGTAAGAGTTCGGGTTTATTCAAAACATGGTTTCTTGACAACATTTACTTACCTAGGCACACATATCCTAGCAAAATATTCCAGCCGCAGTTCCACACCGTTATTTAAAACTGACCTTGCTTACATTTGCAACTACAAAAGTCTTGTTTATGCTGCGACAAAAGAGGAAGTCCCATCTGTGACCATAGAAGTAGAAAACAAGAGGCTTACGTCACTGTAAGTGGCGATGGACTCGCCATCTTGGTAGGGGAAGCGAAAAGCATTGTGAAGTTCCGGCGAGATTATTTCAGAGGCAATCAACAGGGGTGTTACTCTGTATCTGCAGTGCCCAGCCCTGGGTAGCACACCTGCTATCTGCATTTATCTTATCTGGGCTAGGGAGGTACTATTAGATGACCCAATAATATGAATAACTGGAACTCTTTATTTTCAGTACTTCACTGTGTAGGAAGTTACCTTTACACCACTGTGTTTCACAAATACCAGACTTTTGTACTATCCCACCTTTCTGTTGAAAAAAAAAATGAGACAGAAAAATTACAACAAATTATTAATTCAGTTCACTTTCTTTTGCCATTGGTTGTAATAAGCCAATACAGTAAGCAAGCAGAAACACCTCTTTCTTATCTGTAAAAA